TATCTTGATACTCAAGACTCCGAATTTAGTTCCGCTTGCTATGTTTGAAACTTTGTATGAAACTCTTATTGTATTACGAATTTCAAAGGCTAGCTCACTTTCTGTTAATTTTGCCGAATTTCCAAAGTTTACCGAAAAATATGACTGAAACTGCCTGGCTTGCTCAGATCAGCCACTTTGAGTTGAAAATTGAATGTCTTCCATTTAGATTTGCCGAAATTCTCGAAGTGGACGCCTAAAAGCTTGTTTGAGCACTTACTCCCTTATTTTAATTGGTGAGTGTCAAGTGCATGATTTGTTGCAATTATGTGAATTGTTTTTTATGGACTGAATGATTTACAACTGTTGACTCGAGTGTGTATGTTATCGCACTCGTTCTCTTTTAACTGATTGTACAATTGAACTGCTCATAATTGAACTGTATTTGTTTGACTGGATGTCGTTGGAGTGAATCTCCTCGACTTATAACTGAACTGTTTGCATGTCGTTGGAGTGAATCTCCTCGACTTATACCTGAACTGTGGGGACGCCCAAAATCTCAATTGGCCGACCTTGCGACTCGAGCCAGCAAGGGCTTGGTCGAGATGTTTGGTGAACCATGAGATAACTGTAAACTTGATCTATTGAGAGATCTTACTTGACCTACTCGCGTAGTAGTGCCTTTTATAGAAGTTCGGGCCCGGTGCGGTGTAATGGTGGACGGAACTGTGAAGTAAGTTAAGTTCTACGGACTTAAATGCCGATCCGGTTGACGGAGTGCCATCGCGAGGAGGTATTCGACCAAGCCTTGGTGAAGCAAGTGAAACCTAGCTCCTAAGAGCTCCTGTATCCTCATGGAATGTGTTTAATTGAAAATTGCAAATTGCTTGAATATTACAGCTTTATTTCTTACTTAAATATTTTTGCTACATGAACTATGTGTTTGCGTGTTTTCTTGGCCTCACTGAGCGTTAACTCATCCCATTAGATTTGTTTTCTTTAGCAGGAACCGAGATGGAACGGGTTTTGGAGAAGCCGACCTAAGGCACTTTTGATTAGGATTTTGAATGTTTTGGGACTAGACATCTTTTCGAAATTGTATATTTTGGGAAAGTGAATCTACTTTGAAACTTGTGATGTAAAATTGAATACTCATGTATGAAAATGACTTCTTGTCTTTATTTCGACTTTGGTTATTAGTCGTTATCCTTTAAGTTTGAACTGGAATTGTTCTGAGTCCTGGCGAGAGTTGGGCAGGCACCCCGCCGATACCCTTTCGTTCGCCTTAGGGAGAAGTGGGGGCGTCACAGAACCTACCTGGTCCAAGTTGTCCGAGGCCATGGCATTGGCTGGGACTGTCCCCACCTCCCCTTCCTCTGATTGTAGCTTCAAGGAGTGGACGCACACCTCCAGCTCTGGTAGGTCTGCACTCCTACCCGTCGGGCAGTTGTCAAGGTGCCCAACCTCCACATCAAGCTATTGTTTTGAAGTCTTACCTATCCCCTGCTTTGACAAACGCACCCACACCAATGCCCCAAACCGAACCTCTTGTTCCCCTCCCGCATCTGGAAATCCCGTAGAAGGCCCATTCGCCCCGTACTGGAGCTTTTAGCGGCGCCTCTTTCTCCTGTCGGGGCAGAAGCTCAGGAAACTTCTTGAAGTAGCCCTTCTCTGCATGGCCCAACTTCCTGCAGAAGCCACAGAAGGAAGGCCAAACTTCGTACTCCACTGGCTGCCATTGTCCGTAATCCTCATCGCCAATCCAGACCCGTTTGATCGGTTGTTTCGAAACATTGATCTCGATCAGCATGCACGCAATAGAAGGACATTTCAGTTGTAGGGTAGCTGCATCCAGTTGTAATGGCCTACCCAGTAGCGACCCCAACTTCAACAGAGATCTCTTATCAAAGAACGGGAAGGGCAACCCTGGGAGAGTTACCCAAACCGGGAAGATGGAGCAGTCCCGATCCGCCTTGAAGTCCATCGACCATTTAGAAATATCCATCGGAGCGTTCTGGATGTACCATGTACGGAGGACAAAAAGCCTGGAATAATCCTCTTCGAGAGAAGGTCGGATGAGCACGTGCTTGGAGTCCAATAATCCTACCGAACACTCTCCTTTGAGACCTAAGATATGAAAAACTTGCGAATACTCTCCATTGAAGGTCTGCGCAAAGCAAACCTGCCGATAAGGGCATTGCGAAAGCTGCCAAGTCATGCCTGGACAGAATAAGGGCTAGTTCTCCCCTATGAACCCCAAGAGAGCCGAGTTCTAGAGCGATCAGCGACTCACCACCAGCAGTAACATCCGCGAAGGACTTAGTCCCTCCGTGAAGATCCTGAGAAGAGGTAGAGGCCACGGGCCAAGGGGCTGCCATGGCCTCGACCACCGGAGAAGAAAAGACTGAAGAAGCCCTAGCCATTAGGAAAAACCCTAGTGTCCTCACTTCATGTCAAAACTTGAATTTTATTTTGACGATTCTGCCTCTCCTTGAATTTGCCTTCCTTCCACTTATCCCTTCATAAATATTATTGCGGCTTACACATTTTATTTCGCATATCAATTTCCGTCATTTAACAAATGCTAACAATCAAGTTTTCATCTAGAATTTGAATATACTACAATCTGCTTGTTATTATTTAACTTATAAGTTTATTTGTTTCTCGTGATTAAACAAATTGATTGTACCCTGAATTAGTATAGGATCAACCCTTATAGGAACTAATATTGACTAGAATAAGAAAAGTAGTAGGGGAATAATATGATAATATAAAAATGTGGGGCAATTGTTCAAATAATTCTTGACAATCTTGTATGTTTGACAAGTGGATGATGACTAAGTGCCAAGTGCCAACATCGTGTACAAGACCTCAATTTCTTTAAGTTCAAATTCCCCTTGTCTTGCTTCATTTAGCTGAGAGAAAACATTAGACAAAGCTTTCCTTGTTTTGCTCCATTAGTCAGTCGAAAGGAAATGTAGAAAAGTTGAGAGGAAATCTAGAAGCCTTGCTTCCTAGATTCAGCTGAGAGGAAAAGGAGAAAGTTGAGAGGAAATTGAGTGTTTTGTTCCATTTCTCTAGCCAAGAGAGTTGGTGAGTGAAGGAGGAGAGGAAGCAGCTCATTCTTCAAGCTTGGACCGAGCAGAAAGAAAAGGAAGGAGAGCTAACTTTCAGCTTGTTTTGCAGGAAAAAAAAAATAAGGTAACATGGCTTAGAAACTTCAATTTTCAATATACTTTGGAGAAAGTTAGATGCATGCTTGGTTTGAGGTTTGATTGAAGTAAAAACTAGTGATAGGAACCTGTTTAATGCTGGAAATTTTCCAGCTTTGGGCCGAGTTAAGGAAGCTTATTTCTTTCCAGCTTTAGGTTTATATTATGTTGCAAGTTGCTAGAAAATCTTTTACTTCTTTTGGTAAATGAATGTTGGTGAAAATATGGGATGCACGTGAGCTTCATGGTCGCTGAAATTTCCAGGTTGAAACTAAGAGTTGAACTATGCATTTTCGGTTTCTAGTTGCAATTTTTGTTGAGTTTTGCTGGAAATGCATGATTACTATTTCACTCTATGTTATAAGCATGTTGGTATGTGACTTAAGGTTGAAAGTAGGTAAGAAAGGTGCTGTTTTGGGTGAGAAAATTGAAGAAAGTTTGCTGAAAATTTCCAGCCTGAACCATGTGAGATGAGCTGTGATTTCTAGCTTTATCTCCATAAAATTTCCTTAGTTTGGTAACAAACTTCATATATCAGTCATCTTCTTGATCTAGTCATACATGTGATATTTGAAGTGAAGTGTTAAAAGCAAGAAAAGATGAACTTTTAAAGCAACACCAAAACTGGAATTTCAAGACAGCAAACTAGGAGGAAAAAGCTGCAACTTTGGTTATTTTCTTTGAAAGTTTTGCTAGATTATGACTAGAATACATGCTTTATGTCTTGTATAATGTTGATACTATGGTGCAAACTTGAGTGTTATAGTTGGTTTCTTGCTAGACAGTCAAGCTATGGCCGAGAGGAAAGACAGTTTGGTTTCTTGACCTTTCATCCGAAATTTCTAAGAGTTTAGCTAGGAAATTCCTGTTATATGACCAATACATGTCTACATCAATGTTGCATGCTAGTTTTCCTTGGTGAAAATTTGATTAATGGGGCTGAAATGACTAAACCGCATGACTGTTAGCTTGTCCGATGGAATGTAGCTTAACTCCCATTTTGTGAACCGAAGTTTATGCAAATATTGGTTAAATTATCCTATGGTACTCTGCTTTGCTCTGTATATTATGCCTACCTTGATTTGAGAGGAAATATCGAGCCTTTAGGGGAGAAATCTGGAGTTAGTTGACCTTACAGGACTATTTTACATAGTTTGGAATAGTTGGGGAAATTCAAGCTATTTTCTGAAAATTTTAATCAAACTTTGAAGTAAGAACAACCTATAAGAATAACCGTAAAATGCAGGTTGGCTTTTGGGAGATTTGAACGAAGGAAATAGTGAACTTTGGACCAAAAACATGAACCATATCCTGCTAAAACATGTTTTCAAGAATCCTAACTTAGTACTTAGATTCTATAGCTTTTAACTTCGAAATTCTATGGTATAAACGAACCAAAACTGATCAAAACTTCTCTAAGTTACCTTATAAAAGTTTTACTTAGAAAACTCATCCAAAAATCTGGGGCAAAATCAAGGAACTTTATAAGATCTCTAAACTGCAAAATTCTAGAAAACTTACATTGACCCTTGATTTTAAATGATCTTGAAAACTTAAATCCCGACTTTTATTGCCAAGTAACCACCTTACCTTTCTTTACTTTGATAAAATATGGAATTTTAGGGCTTAAGAGATTAAAATTACCTAGACCTTGAATCTTTAATGAACTAGGATAAGATAAGTATTAAGACCACTTTAAAACTCCCTATAAATATATATATATATATACAACTAAACATTTTGGATTATATATGCTTTAGTCTAGATAATCATGTGAACCTTATCTTCACCATTTGGAAAAATAATAAGTAGCCTAATAAGTTTATAACTATCTCAGGAGCCAAGGGAGAACCGAAGGAGGGTCTAGGTACCGGGGAGTGAACTCAAAATATTTTGGGTGAGTGTTTCCACATTTGTGGATTTAAATTACTTGTGTGGTTATATGATTATGCCAGTGCTTTATTATAATGTGTTTCAATTGCCCTTTGTCATATAAAGTTGAGAGTGTACTTTATCACACTCGACTTAGCTTGAGTTTGAAGATTTATAATTGTCATGTTGTTGTTATAAGCGCACATGACTGTAAACCATGTATGTACTTCATCGTACCAGCTAAACTGGACCCCAAACCCTCTGTTCAACAGACTCTTTGAGCTTGTAAAGGGCTTGGTCAGATAGGACAGTAGCTTTGGGTGAGTGTATTGCTATACTCGAGTACTACCACGGAGTAGCGGAATATTGATATGGCCATCTAAGTGAGGGAAATGTTTAATTTTTTGGAGGTTATAAGGGGAGGTACGGTGGAGTATGTAGTGCATTGAAGTGACTCTAATACGAGTATTGTATCCTTTTAAAAGTGAATGCACAGTAAAGTGTTTCTTGTTTGTTTAATTTTGTTACTTGTTTAAGTGTTTAATTGATGGATGCATGTGCGGAACCTCAATGGGTTTCGCTCAACCCATTAGTTTGTTTTCCTTATAGGAATAAAGGATGGGTGCAAAGAGTAGCCGGAACCTTAAGCCGAGTCTTGAAGTGTACGAGGAGGAATCCTTTTGTACTTAATGTTTTAGTTTTGCTGACCTTACTACCTTTAATGGTTGTACATATTATGAAGTTGTAGGCTAAGACTACTATACTTTTGTTTGTCATGCACCTAAGTATAAAGAATTGTAAATGGTTTTAGTTAGTGAAATGTTATCTCTAAAGTTAATGTGAGTGAGTTCATTCAAGTGAGAGCCAGGCAGGCAGTCCACTTAATTCTTTGATTCGCCCTAGGATGTGGTGGGGTGGGGTCATCATAGGATCTCCATCAGATGATAATCCTTCTGGGATTTAATCCTTCTAGGATCCACCCATCAATCTGGCAAAGATCCTTACGGATCCTATCACAGATCCAAAACCCTAGGTAGATTTTTTTTTTTTTACACATTTTGAAATTTTCTAAAAAATTTTGGTACTTCTAAATATCCAAAAACATCTTTAATTTTAATCAAATTAAAATACATATAGCACAAAAAATAAAAAAAAAATATGAGTCCTTTCAAAATTTCTTTTCGAGACCAAAACAAATAAAGAAACCAATTCTCCACTCGGAAACCGATTTTCTTATAAAATTTTAATTAGTTTCTATTCTTGCTTCAATTCTTTTTAGTACCAACTTTCCAAATCCATTTTTAATTTCTAAATATGCTTTCTCATCATCTCATGTATGAAAAATTGGATCAAATGTAGCCAATTCAACATGAACCAAAACCGATAAACTTTGTTCACCAAAATCACATAACCTATGCAATTTTTCTTCAAATTTTTTCTGCCAATTTTGTCCTTATCTTTTAAACATAAAATTTATTTTAAACCAGAAAATAAATTTGAAGCATCAAAACTTTACAACAGACTTTTACAAGAATTTTTTGTTTAGAAAAACTTAAACTTTAACTTCAAGAATAGCATATAACTTGATCACATCAATATACATAACAACCGAATAAACAAATTACACGATTTAATCAAAATTGGTTCTGATAGCATTGTAAGGAACCAAGCATACAAGTATAGTTGAATTTTAAAATTTTCTATTCCTATAAGTTCATCAAGCTTTGATTAGCGTTCATGTGGTAAGAGGTAAGTGTAGAATTATACCTTAAACGATGAACCATTATCCACTTTGCAAGAAGAACACACGTAGGTGAAGGTAGTCGGCTTGAAGTCCAACCTCCAATAGTGATAACTTACAAAGTACTCTTTTTTAAGATCCAAGAAATTCTAGTACCTTGATAAAACTTTGTAATCCCCTTTCCTTCTTTTAATTGACATAGCCCCCCTTATCTCACAAAATGAGGATGCTACATTGCGACTGGTCGGGATAGCTCAGATGATAGAGCAGAGGACTGAAAATCCTTGTGTCTCTAGTTCAAATCTGGCTCCTGGCACATGATTAGTTTTTATAATTCTCTCTTGTATAAATTAATTGATATGAATCGACATTCATATTTGTAGTTTAGATCATAATAAATACATGATGTTTTCCACTTCAGCCAAATATACCCCATCTATTTTATAGATGGGTAGAACTTTTTAGATAACGTACCTAAAAGAATTGGATTCTATTTCTTCATCTTTTTTATTTCTGCTCTTCTTTTGTTCAAAAAGAATGTTAATACTTCATATATATTCAAAAGACATTCAAGGGGTTAATTTAATTGGTTGAGATCAAATCTAGAGGAATTGAAATACACAAGAGATGCAAATAAATAGAATCCAATATCCTTTAATTTCTTTGTATTTTTGTCCATATTCAATTTCATCATTCCTACTTACATAACTTTCTAAAACCCTTTAAATAATGTGCATAGGGGAAAGTAAAAATTCATGATGTAGAAGTTCATCCTCTTTGTTCATCTCATCTGAGATAAGCATCTTACAAACCAAATAAATGGGATGTAAGAATACCAATGAATCTCTAAGAATACCACATGAGTCCTTTGTGCGAGAACCTCTTTTGGTAGCAACGCCTAAGCAGGGTAGTGCTAGCCAACTACCAAGATTAGTCCTCACAATTTGGTGTATTTTTTATGGTGAAAAACCCTAATTTAATGAACTAGGAAAATCAGCCAAAAGGAGATAGAAAGAGATGAATTTTTCTCTTCTGAATTTTCAAGCCTGTTGTCTCTCTAGATTTTCTCTAGAATTATCGCTAAACTTATGACAGTTAGGTTAAATACTCTATTGCCTTCAATTTTTTCATCATATCATATTGGTTTTGTGCCAGGAATTGGGTATTATTGATAATGTTTTTTTAGTTCAGGAATTGGTTTCGGACTTAGACAGGAAATTAGAGGAGCCAAATTTAATTTTAAAATTCGATATGAAAAAGACCCATAATAGATTGCTAGGGTTAATTGGTTTTTTTGATTCGCATGTTGATGGCATTTGGATTTGGTGACCGGTGGATAGATTTGGTGGTATAGCTCGATGTCTTTAGTCCTTCCGTGGTGTACGACAAGAGAATCCATGGTCACCAACCTTGTTTCTGATAGCTACAGATTTTTTATATAGGGGATTGGATCATCATTTCCAACGGCATACAGGGATGCATATTTCATCTACGGCGGGTGTGGTCTCTCATTTGGCTTTTGCAGATTGCACTATCATCTTTACATGGTATTCTAACCATGCTTCAAAACGGCTGGATAGCTCAAGTTATATCAATCAATATCTGGACAAAGAGTTAATTTGTGAAAAGTTCCTTTGGTTGTGCAAAGAATACTTCTCCTGCTAAGATTAGAATGGTGAGATCTGTTCTTGGATTCTGTCAATATAAACTTCTTTTTAGATATCTTGTGTGCCTCTTTATAAAGGTAGGAACATAGTTAGTAAAACACATGATGAGCAGAATACAAGATGTTATACGAATGTATATTATATGGAATTTTTCCCAACAGTACGATTAAAAGATTGGCATAAAAATACATGTTCAAAAAAATTATGCACATAAATTCGTATGTGAATAGTATGAACACATTTGAAAGCCATGGAACTAAAAATACGGATAAATTTACTATAATTTTCAAAGACAATGCTCCATTTATACCAATTTTAGACTTATTTTTATGAATGAGACGTTAAATTTATTAAAATTTTATCATTTTATTACTTAGATATATAGTTGTTTTGACATATATCACTCTTATTTTATGTATAACTCAAAAAGTATGTCATTATCCTTATTCAAATTTTAAAATTTTTTAAAATTTGAAGTATAATTCATGAAGTATAATATGTTAAAAGTTTATTATGTGTTACACATGGGAAATTGAAAAATACGAGTATTTTTTAGAGCATTTTTGAAATGTATGAAATATGAAAGTTATTTTGATTGATATGTATCAACATGTACTATACAGGTATAATATGAGTATTTGCTAACTATGGGTAGGAATAAGTTTTTACTGTTCAACGATATTTTATCCAAGGTGAGATGATGAATTTGATAGGTGGAGTTCAAAATTCCTCTCTGCTAGGAGCTTATATTGATGCGGCATGTGCTTTCTTTTGTTGTTTTTTTTTTTTTTTTTGTTTTCCTGAATTCATAAAAGAATTACATTTTCAATCACCAATTTAATATGTCAAGAAGGACAAAATATTAATCCAATTCGTTAGACAATGACAGCTCATCTGATTGAGCATATTGAAAAAAATAGACATTAGAAATAACTTTTGTATAAAAATTATATGTAAACTTTTGTATAAAAATTATAACTTTTGTATTATAAAAAATTATATGTAATGCATTTATGACATTTCAAGTCAAATAACAACCAATCCAACAATTGGGCTGGCTACCTTGACTGTTATTTTTCCATTTGATATACAATCTGAGTTTCAAAATCTTGCTCGGTACCATTTTACTTTTACATCAATCTCCATTAAGGCTACGTATGAATCAAGCTACTTGCAAGCATTGGGTTTGAGCTGAGTACCTTTAACTCTGTTATTTTTCCATTCGATAAACAATCTGAGTTTCAAAATCTTGCTCGGTACCATTTTACTTTTACATCAACCTCCATTAAGGCTACATATGAATTGAGCTGCTCGTGAGCCGAAATTGGGCATTTTATGCCCGTCCAAACAGGGCGAAAGCCCCAAGGCATGAAGCGCAAGTTCCACAAATTTTTATTTTTTAAATATATAAAAAATAAAATATAAAATAATACTACACAAATTATAATATTCATAAATATTTGTGTGTATATATGTTCCTAATAAATATAAAAAATTGATAAATTTAAGAAAATTACAAAAAATATATTATTGTTGTCTAACAAGTAAAATCACAACATTACTCATACAGCTATCTAGAATCATGTTAATAAAAAAATAATTATATTTTGGGATCAAAGGAAAAAAAAGTCATGGATGCTTTTATTTTATATTTCTCCCAAACTATTTTTAAAGAGAAAATAAATGGAATCATTCTTCAAAATTATTAAAAAATAATAAGGACAAGAAACAAAGATAACAAAGATAAAATAGTAAAACTAAAGTCAAAATTAGAAAAAAATACAAAAACGCCTCGAATGCCCCAAACGCCAGGGCGTTCACCCCGCCCAACAACACTTATGCCCCATTCAAAAACCCCGGGACATTTGGAGCTCACCCAGAAACGCCTTTTAAAACAATGCTTATGATTAACAGTCAAGCAAACGCTTCAAGATATTTATAGCCACTCTTTATCCATCTCCATACTATCACTTCATACTGTTAAGCAAAGCAGATATAACTGCAACATAAAAGAACTTTGATTTTCATATATAAGCCTCCATATAATTTCAGAACTACCAGACTGTTTGAGTTATTGAATGTCTCGGTGCTATCCAATTCTTGTGTCCTTTTCTTAGCTTAAATTACCCAGGAATGGTTTCCGCAAATCAGAAACTATAACCCTGTGATTGTATTGTCCATTTCATTGATTTGGCCAAGGCAATGCAAATGGAGAACTGTTTCATCTTGTGGGTCAGTTAAGGACCCATTAAACAAACAAGAGATAACAATTCGAACCCAGCATAAGAAACTTAACCAACCAAATCCATTCCAAGTAAGACAGCATTAGTTTTAAGTAGAGGTGTCAAATCAAACCATTTAATTAATTTTACCCATACCCGCCCATTAATAACTGAATATGGGTACATTAAATTTTTATATATAGGTATAAATGGGTTACCCAATTATACCCAATTATTAAATGGATATAATTGGGTAACCCATTAAACCCAATTAACCCATTTAACTTGCATTCCCAAACTTCTTTCTATTTTCAGTTTTCACCGTCAATCTTCTTCTCCTCCCCACCAGCAAGCCCACTGCTTCCCCCCCCCCTCTTCCTCCAGTGTTTGATTCCCCTCTCCCTTCTCCCCGTCTCTGCTTAATAGAAGGTTTTTGCCCCTTCCATGTCCAATTCCTGAGCTGATTGATGGATAACTTTTCTAATGCCATTAGATCCTAGAAACGCCACTTATATTTTTTAGCTCTAGTTTTTTTCCCTTCATTTGATACCATTGCATTTCTTTGCTTAATGTTCACAGGAATCTAAATATTGTGAGAAAAGTTGAAAAGCTTTGGGAGCTTGAGGTACAAGAAAATTAGAATCAATCTTCAATTTTGTTTGGATGGAATTGTTGGCATAGTATTTGGACATGGGAGGAGAGAGACAGAGCATATGCTGCAGATCCTGCACCCCGGATGCAGTTGGTGGTATCTGTAGCATTTTGGAGTCTACAGGTAAGGCTTTCCTGCTTAAATTTGTGGTGGGATGCATACTTATTGGCTGTAGTAGTATTTGAATGGGATCTTAATTTTGCTGGTTCTATGACAACTCTACTGGGAAAGTTTTACTTGTATGCATTCGTCTCCTTGCAATCTGTGAAGCTGTTTGTTATTATTGTTCCCAGTAATTGCAAATTTGGAAAACTTCCAGTGCCTAGTAATTTCTTTTTAGTCTATTCGTAACAAATTTGTTCAGCACTACTGGTAACAATTTCTTGAAGGCTACAAAATCTGCAATGACGAGGACAAGATTGGTTGGCCATAGTTTTTCAAAATTTACACGACGCTAAACTGAGGTCTAAGGATCCAGCCATGTTCTTTTTCTATAACAGGAATCTTGTTAAGTAGCATATTCTTTAAATTTTTCCTATAACAGGTATCTTGTTATTGGGCATGTAATTTTATTTATTTTTTAATAAAAATGTTGTTGGAAACGGGATAGAAAAGCATAGAAAATTAACATGATAGAAAAGCATAATATCTCGTATATAATATCATTGACAGTAGTATTTTAGGTTCAATCTGATGCATTGTTTAGGGGAAAGTTTCTGGTATAAATTTGCTTCATGTCAATTAAGCCACACATAACACAAAAAGGTGGATCATATACACATGAAATCCTCTTTTTCTATGTAATTTGGTTTATGTGAACGGTGGCATATGTCATAATCTACCCATATCCTTGTAAAGGGTATATTTGGCTAGGATATGTTTTAGGTTCTCGATATTGTTGTAGTGCTAGAGTTTGAGCTACAATGTGGAATGGAATTTTGTGGCTTGTGTCTTGTGTATTATTCAGCCTTTGTTGTTATGACATGGTTATATTTGTGCCTAGTTATGTGGAAAATGGAAAGATGCTGATTTTGTTTGCATGATCAGGCTTAAATTGGTTCTAGCAACCTTGTCAGGATGCTGATACTGATGCACTGAATGCAGCAGCATCACTGTTGTAAGGTTCTCCCATTAGAAAGAGTCAAAAAGCTAAAAAACCAAAGTGGCAAGGAACTTTTTAAAGTGCTGAAAATTGGAAGTTGTTGAAACTTGGGCTTGGCTATCAAGTCATTGAAACTGGCAAGTGCAGTCAGCACAATTAAGTCTGAGAGGGCAGGGCAGGACAAGTTATATGCAAGGCTGAGAGTCTTAGATAGGAAAACATCAGATGAGGTGTACAAAGTTGGTAGTATAGATAACAGAAATGCTATCCCTTCATGATCCAACAGATGAGTTGTCAGAGCACATTCAGGAACTATGTTCTTATACAAGCCATGAGCCTACCAATACAGATGAGTTGATCCAAAGTTCTTCAAAGTGTTCGAGACAACTCACGTCATTGATTTGGAAGGAATTTGATATATTGTATGTTGAACCAGATGGTTCACAAAGAGCACAATGTAAATGGTGCAAGCGTGATTATGCATGTGGTGGAACAACCGGAACAAGCAACTTATGGCGTCATCTTTCAAATGGAGTAACAGGTATGTTATACTTAACCTTTTTGTGCACATGATCTTGTATTTTACTTTTTTAGTCACTTATTGAACTTTACTTTTGATTTCAGCTTCTGAAGATGAAGAAGATAGAGAAAGACTGAGTATTGACTTTGCACCTTTAGTTGCTAAACTTACTAACCTTCATGTTGGCGGATTCCAACAATGAGCTGGAGGAGTTTTATGCTATGCTATGCAGTTGTACGAAGCTTGTGCTTGTTAAGTATCTTGATAGAGTAGCTAGTTGTGGGAATTCAAGTAGCTATTGTTTATTCTCGTACTGAAGGTTGGCAAGAAGTTTTGGCCATGTAACCTTTCACTGTTCTATCAGTTATTTCTATTTATTGAAAATTTATCTTTGTTTGTATGCTAAATGAAGTGATTGCTAATCCTTATCAGGATTTTTAACTATTTTTTATGTTAACTAATTTTGTTTTATTTATTATATTTATTTGTTGATTTTGTCTTATCGCTTTATTTCCTCGTAATTTATTAATTTGATCATTGTTTAGCATCACTAATTTATGACAAATTTTAGTCTCCTTTCTTACCTTTTCAAAATGAAATTTTAAATTTATACACGAAAAAATACTAGGGGTTCAAAGTTTTGGATTAAATTTTTATGTTAACTTTCATATTATTTAGTCCAAATTTTTAGATTCTCCTTGTTCAATTATTAAATAATATGTAATTTTGCGACATAGCACGCGGATGAAAAAAAAATTGATAATTAGACTTATTTGGCATAATAAGTAAATATTTAAAATTAATGATGGGTGTAAAATGGTATAAATTGATAATTTAGCTTGCAAAATGAATTTATATGAGTTTGTAAAAAATTAGAATAAATGGATTATAAATGGATAATTGAGTTACCCAACTCATTTTTTGACTTACCCATTTATACCCATCTAATTAAATGGATATAAATGGGTTGACTCACTTATACCCATTACCCATTTTACCCAACCCAAACCCGCCCAAATCACCCATTTTGCCACCTCTAGTTTTAAGACATGCATTGTGAATAAAAAATAGCACGCTTGGAACAAGCTTCTGAGCAAAAGGATCTATAAGGCATAATTAAAGAGCAATAGGAGCACAAACCAGTCTGACCAATTTGCAGGCACAATATGAGCAACGAATCACCCTGGGTCTAACCAATTTGGTATTCCAGGAGCACGACCATGCCACTGTACCCACTCTGCTTTTAGGAAGTCATTCAAGCCAAGCAACTCACATTCATGAAAGCATCATATGAGCGGTGCTAGAGCTAGTAATGTTGCAACCAAACAAATAAAGTAATATTACATCACAAACTTACTGAAAGACTTGGTTATGAGCAGCAAAATCTCAAAAGGCCTGATGACATTCATCTTTCTTATCTAACCACAATCTGCAGAAGAAGCCACAGCTGGTCAGTAAAAGATCACTAGACTAACAGAATAAAAGTTCCTATATCAGGATAAATACTAAACATAATTTTGTCGTGCCAACATGTTGTTTGCTCCTTTTCTGTGATCATACTCATCGCCCATATAGATGAAGGAACACCTTGGTTAACAAAGGGAGTAGTCAATGGCAGATAATTAACCAGAGGCAAAGAGAGAACAACTCTAATATTCAGTGAACAGCCAAGTCAATCAACTCAAACATTTGTTAAAAGAACTCAAGAAGAAATGTCTTACTTGGGAAACCATGCGACAGAGTAACAAGTTCAACATCTGCCATTTTGTCATCTTTACCTGAGACAATGGCAAACTCTACTTCCTGCATATAAATCAATAATAAGTTTAGGAACCATTCTTTTAAAGTATAACTAACAGGCACCGGTATTTTGAAAATGTGTCTGATAAAAACTAGACAATAGCAAGAGTTTTTGAACAGTTACACAGCTAATTCTCTGAGCTTTTAGATCAGTTGAAGACTAACATGCATAAACAAATCCTTCAATTCACTCAATAAAAGCCTTGTCCCGCTCGATAAAACAAAACAATATATGTTCTCCTACAAAGACATTCTTCAAAAACCCCAAAAAAAAGGGAAGGTTGTCAATTTTTATTGGAAACCTATCAAGTCCTCATTTTTCATTGGATTTCTAAACCTCATCATTCCAAGATTTCAGAAACTCACTACCCAACAAACTTAAATTAGGCCTGGAAGAATAAAATCTCAATTAGCAAAACACCTTTTCCAATAATTTCCGTCCTTTACATAAGGAATTTTCTTAAAATACTATGATATGCTTAATAACCAAAGAAAGAAACTCATCAATTCCAACCAGGAAAAACAAAAGCTAAATCATCAAATCCAACAGAAATACTACGTTATGAGACTGAGGGATGTACCATCACGAGGCCAAGATATGCAATTAAGAATTTTCTTCATTACTTTCTACTCAAATTTGACAAAGCACACATGGAGAGCTAATATAAGAGAGCATAAAGGACAAACTAGACGGAAATTGGAGATAAGGAATCAAATATTATAAGGAGTATTGCTTCATGTCTATCAGCAATATTGACATCTGGTGTAATAGAGGCATGACCAGGAATGTACTTGGTGATTTAAAAAACTTAAGGAGCTTGAGTTTAGCTACATGGCTATCATTTGTTGTCAATTTCATAGCAAGAACGAACAGTAATTTAACATGTTAAGGACAAGGGATCCTCCCACAAGAAACCAAAAATTCCAGTTGGCCAGATTTTATTTTCTTGCTTTATGTCAGTCAAACCAGAGCCAGATGTAGAAATAACATTTTTTTTTGGTCTAGGTTGCATTTAACCTTTCAGACAACTTCTAACTTCGATGGTGTGGATGCAGTTCACTTATTCAGTTACAAAAAAATTTCTAACCTCTTCAAGGGTGTGGATACAGTTCACTTATTCAATTACGGACATTTCTAAGTTTGATTATATTTAAAATGTCACTCTCAAAGATAATTGAAACTGATTAAGCAAGCAACAACCATTTTCTTTTTCATCTTGCAGCAGTGCTACAGCTAATAATCTAGAGTCATCTCATTCCCCAGAAAAATGGTAGTCAAAAGACACTATAGAGCATTTTAATCGACTAGGAATATCCAATAACTACCCTCAAAAAGAGATCACCTGGCTAAAATGTTGTACATTCAGAAGAGAGTGCAAGCTACTGATGACAAAATTGTGACTTCATAACACAACCTTACAATACATACTTCAAATGTGAATACTAGCTGCAACTATATGGTTGCAAGACACGTTGAGAAGCCAATGAAAATAGCAAAACTTTCGACGTGAACAAACTAATATTCATAAACTCTGACGAAAATAGGAAAAAGGCTCTTTCACACTCCCTCCCCAGCAAAATAACTTAAATGCATGAGAAGATTTATCATCAGATGTAGCATCACTTTAGTTTAGTTGGATAGCCAATGGGAACACATAACAATTACTATCAAAATGTAGACATAGACCAATTCATTTTATTCAATCCTATATCAGAACATAAAACATAGTGAAGCAAATTGTATTACAAAGATGATTACTTGGAACTCCATATTTACCCAAACCACATTTCCAACTGTTATTTGAATTCTCCTCATCTTTATTATTTTCTCCATTTGCTAAGTTGTGTCTGTTATTATTTGTCAACCGATCAAATAAAATTAAAGCCATCATGAGCAGAGACAAAATCAATACATTCCAAGGTTTCCTTTCACCTTCTTGTGGGAATAAATGTTCATGAAAACATGTCTAACAGAGCGATGGACTTTCAAGATAAGACCTGCTAACAAGCTGAAACAAAAATTTGACTCCATTCTACAGGGCCCTCGGCGCTAGGTAACATGTTCAACAAGGCAGAGCTTCAGTCTGCTCATGGATATATCTGAAGTTGGATTCACACTAAACAAAGTAGATGGTCACAGTTTTTTATTATCACGCTACCATAACGTATTTAGGAGTTTCCTGTTAATCATATGGCTGTAACAAAAAAAAAATAAAAAATCAGCCATTACACCAAACGTAATCTCCGAACTTAATCCCCAAAAACAGAGTTTATCGGTGGCAATAGAGCCTCAAATTAAACTGTTTCAACTTATTCTCTGAACTTAATCCCCTAAAGAACACAAACTATTAGACTAGATCCTTTCACTAATGACGAAATGGAAGAAAAATTAGGGCTAGAGATACATCGTCTGGAAGAAAAGATCATGCATGTTACCACAAAATTCATCAGAAAACCGTAAAAAACAAAAGTACGGGTTATCAAGAAAAGAAGACAACTTACCAATTCCAATCGCCATCCTCCCGGAGTTCGTTAGCAGTGGTGAGAGAACCCCTGCTAGAAAATTCTCGACCAATTATTCCATTTCAGTCGGCCCGTCGTGTTTGTTGTTTTATTTTCACTCTATCAAGGGAGAATTCCAAGCCTGACGAACGAGATTTGCCTCTTAACGGAAATGTTTTTGCTACTTTAGGGCTACAGGTTAGGCAAAAAAATGCAAATTGTTTCTGAGTACAGTTTGCGGGTGAGTGCTTACGTGGAGCGCGGGTAGGTACTCGAATAATATTGTAGCGGATTAGGAGATTTGTGCGGGACTGATCGTATTGGATGGGTATGACAGAGAAGGGCGATTCGGCACGGCCGCCGGAGATATATGCTTATGAAGCTTGTAATTCTCCTTTAATGTAGATGAAAATAATCTTTCCATCTCTCAATGTGCCCCGTGGTAGTGTAAGTTATTTATATTAAAACGTTTGAAGGCACAAGTATTTAGAGATGTACACCCTGCTCAATGAGACATGAGGAGACGGGTAAGAAAAATTTTTAATGAAGAACTCTTTAACAGAATGAACTACTTGTACATCTTTTTTTTAACAGGGATATCATGTTTAGTTGTTTGTGTGGACTTGGACATGATAATTGCATCAAAATTAAGTTGAATTTTCTTGTTGTTTTGTTGGCAAATTTAGAGCCATGAACAACTCGAGACACTTGTCAGTCCGTACCATTAATCCATGTGGCATTGGCTAGCGCCTTTTGAACCCCTTCAAGAATATTTCTTTTCAATACTGCAATGATTAAAAGACCTTAGCACCATGAGTTTAAAATACCTTAGCACCGTGAGGAGGCATGGTGGTGGCCCAATGGGAATGGGAACTCATCCTGTAGGGAAAGAAGAAAAGGACAGGGAAAAATGAAAATATGGGGTGTGAGTGAGGGTTGGGTCAGGGATCTTTCTCCTCATATTAGCATTTATGCCAGTGGTGTATCGTGATCCGTCAAGCAAGAAAGGGTTATGTGGAAGGTCATCGCACACAGGTCCATAATCCACTACTTTGTTGGAGACTGTCCTCCTTTCTGGAGTAAGAGTGAGAGGCACCTCAGAAGTTGACCTATTGGCTGTGGAATAAAGAGGTCGAGTTTGTGATGGTGGTATAAGGTGAAACTGGGTCAACATCAACAATCAGGGTTGTATCTTTTTATTATGTTGTGATTTACATATTTTGTGTTCTTTCTATATGTTTGAATACACTCTCTAAAAGCTTAATTGCACTCTTATGCACAGACCTCGCTTGGCTATCAACGTCACACCAAAATACGAACATTTTTTTAAAACTAGGATGCTGAGAATTGACATGAGATTGACCCGTCATAAAAATTATAATTGACTGTAAAGGAAACATATAAAACTAGTGAATTTGAGTAGAACTTTTAATTTTCACTACATAATAGTATGATTGCCTTCAAGGCATGGGTTTTAAGTTATAGAAATGTCCTTTCAATTAAATGAGAGCTGCTGTTAATATATAAATTAATGACTGTGTGAGTTTTGACGCAAATTAGACAATTCACCACCAGTGAAATGGTAGAGGGTAGAGTTTGCCCCTCCTTCCTTCCTATCCTGCTCTTTTTGCATTTTCCTCTTCATCCTCTCCATAAACTTCTTTATCTTTCTCTTTCTCCTTTCACGCTCTTCATCCTATCCTTTCTCCTCAAGGAACAAATTGTGGCAATGACAGTGGTCTTGGTGGCTATTATTGCTTCTTCTTTTTTTGGGCGACACAACGGGTATCTCAACATTTTGCTGGACTAATCCCCCTGCGGCTGGATAGAGCCCCGCCCAAGGATGCACAGCAATGTTAGCACAACAGGGTTCGAACTGGTAACCTATGGGATACTACCGTATATGGTCACTAGCTCAATTTTTTTTTTCTTTTTCTTTTTGTAATTTTGACAAAGTATTTCAGTAGATATAGAATCATTAAAATTCTAGAAGTGTTTTGATGTGTTAAATATGCAAATTTTAGGTAAGAATTAGCAAACTAAACTTGCTATTAGTGTCAAGTTTTAAGCTTGACATCATGGCTAATGGTGCAATTGAATGTTCAATTAACCTAGAACAAAAAAACCTCGAACACAACTCTTCCACTGCTAGAGAATTATTTTGATATAATTAATATACACTAAGGTCAAGATATGGTTTGAAGGAGTGGTGGTGCTACTGCCAGAAGAAGAATGAAAAAAGGGAAAGAAAAAGAACTAAAATTAAATTAAAAACCCATTTCCTCATCGTTTTAATACCAAACAGCTAGAAAGGATTTGTTAATATTCTATTATCATTGAAGAATTCTGAATAGCCATTATGGTAGTCATTTTTTAATAGATACCAAAAGAGGTGATAACAATAACAAATATGGTGAAACAAATTCAAAAGATCAAAGTAAATTTTAAGTTGATTGGACATTGAATTTTCTTTTTTAACCAAAATTTAGATTGGATGATTGGTAGAGCTGTTAGTGGTGTTATATATGAATATAAATTAAGGTCAAATGAAAAATAAACTTTTTCATACCACCCACAGAGTGCTCGTGGAAGTAGTGGGGCAAAACGAGGGTAGAATGAGGAGTAGGAATGGAGATGGGGCAAAAGTTAGGGGAGCTTTTTTAGAAATGTAGTATAAACCGGGAAGATAGTTTTAGAGTGCCGTCGTCCTCCATGTGAGTTTCACGTGTGATGAATGAGTTATGTTGCTGTTTTGTTTCCTTTTTTTCCCTTTTTTTTCCCATCCAACCTCCCCATTTTTTCCACCTGCTTTGGGACTAAGGAGGGATGATTACTCTTTCCACTTTTATCACGAGTGTATCAACGGCGATGTGCTTATCATGAAGAGCATATATTGGGAACTGTAGTTGCTAATCTCTGGTCTGACCTCCAGCTACGGAGAGGCGGCTGCATTGTTATTATTATTAGAGTTAAGTTCTGTTGGCATGCTCTGTTTTAGTAGCAGGGATTTGCTCTGCCTGCAACATAATAATTCCTTCGATTTCCAAGACTTCTCTTGCCTGCTTCTTTTCCCGTGCATTCTCTTCTCCGCTTTTGATAGATTCTCTTTCCGTCTTTCCATTAAACGAGGATGCAGAGCTTCATTTTTTTCGTTCTTATATAACCTTTGGCCTTATTTTATGCCTTTACGCTGTCTTCTTTGTCTTCTCTTGCCCAGTGTGTGTTGGTTTTCTTCCGCTTTCTGTTGCTCTTGCCTTCATCTGGCTTGTGCTACTGTCTATTTTTGTTGTTGTTGCCGTCCTCGTCAGCGTGGTTGTTGCTGCTATTACTCCAGTGAGGTACTTTTTTTGTTTTTTTCTTTTGCCCTTCTTATTCCGCATTTCTATCTTGTTTCCGTTCATTATGCAGCTTATTCCCTGCTTAGTTTGTTACTTTCCTGTTTTGTATTGGTCATCGCTTTTTTCGTGCTCTTCTGAAGATGTTCTTGTGTTCATCATCATTATCTTTTCTTTTTATTTTTCTTTCAGTTGTGTCCTTTTACTTTGTCTGGTCACGCATCCGCAAAGAGAAGGGTTCTGTGTGTTGTTTTTTTGTGTGGTCTGTCGAAGGTGTTTTTCTTTTTGCCGGATTTATTTGGTATCTTTTCTGCTGGCTGTTCACCTTTCTTTGTAGCTTGTTGTTTGGTTTCTTTTAGCCTTCATAGAAAAAAATAATTGGAGCAGCAAAAAATTTAAACGACTACCACACCATTGCGCCTTCGTCGAGTTCGCTACCCTTGCTGCATTTTTTTCTTGTTTTCCATTGTGCTTTACATTTTAGTAGGAATGTCCTTCCGGTCGTGTGAGCTGTTTCCATGGATTTCTTGCAATTGCTTCTCTGTGTTCGCTTCAAAAGTTCATGTCTGATGGATGGTGTCTTCCTTTCAGGTCTTGCCGTTCCTGCTTTTTCCCTGCTGTCTTCTTAGGTACTTCCTCATTTTTTTTTCTTCTTCTGCCCATGCCTAGCTCGTACTTTATTCTATGCATGGTTCCGTTGTCCTCTCCTGTCTATGCATGCTTCACACTTTATTCTGTGCATGCATGCATTGTTGAAATGGATGAACATTTCCGCTCTATGCATGCATACGTTGTTGCATGGAGCAACTGCCTTTTAAAAAGTTACCTTTACCGCTTCCGTCGGTTCCCCTTAAAGGGTCTTTCTGCGTCGGTGTTCCTTGGCCTTGGTAGAGCCAGGCGCATCGTTCTAATTAATACGTCCTGTATTAATTAAGTAGACAAATTCTTTTGGAAATATGCTCGCCAAGCTGATTACTAAAATACATTATGCTTTCGGTAAAAATTTGTTGTTTTCTCCTTAGCATGACTTCTTTGTTACTGCGTATAGCTTCCATGATGTATTTCTTGTGGTCGCTTCCTCTGGGTCACAGAAAGTATCAAAACGAAAGTTTCTAACCAGCATTTTGTCATCCCCAACATTGATGCAAAATTCCCTTAATCTATTAAAATGTAAAGAAACAACAAAAATATGCAACTTAGAAGTACACGTTCAAATATGTCTTACTGTTTTGCTTCAGAAATGACCCGACGAGAATGAGAAGGTTCTATGAGCTTGAGGTTGTGCATTGTTCCCATCTGTCCCTTGTTAAATATCCATATCGTTCCTCAGATCATGCATAAATGCATCCGTTCCCCCTAGACCTTCTTATTGCTCCACACAAAACACTTCCTATTTTTATTAATGAATATTCAAACCTGTTTCTTGTTCTTCGTAGCGTTAACAGTAACAACTTTTAAAGCATTCCACCTTTTGTAAAGTTCTAAGAATTATCAAATACTTCTTTTACAATATGACAGGCCATGCCATTGTGCCATTAATTACTGTGTTAGTTTCAAAGTTTTTAGGCATGCTTTGTGTGCAATCACTAATGCACCTGCAAATATTAACTCAAACAATTAATATTTCCACATTAACTGCAAATAGTACACCAACTAATCCAATCCAATTAACTTCGGCTACCCTCTCTTGCATAATATATAAATGAACAATAGCATGAAGAATATGGAACTTATATAGCTCATAAAAATGGAGCAGCTGGAAAGTGTTGGCTCTTCCAGTTTGTTAGCCAAAGATAGGGATGCAAAGGGATGCTGGTTCTTATTTAGATATAAAAATGAGCCTGAACAGGTATTAAGAAGTTTTACCACTTTGTTGCTGTTACCATTGTTTGCCATCTTGTAGCGTTTCTCAGCCAACTTATATTTACATATGACCTGCATATAGTGCCTATTCAATTCCAAGCCCTTCTAATCAAGCACCTTTGTAACCAGATAACTATAAGAGAAGTGTATAGAACATGGCTTATCAAGCTTCGTCGGCAAGCATTCGCTGAAGGATGGCAGGAGTTTTGCCACAGCAACATCATCAAGGAAAACTACTTTTCTTGCTTCGACATTCTGGTCACCTAATCTTCGACGTCATCCACTTTTACGAGGACAAAAAACAAGTATACATGCCATGGACAGATCCTCTACCTCATATACTGCGTT